TCAAAATGGAGGGGGAAATAAGACACTTCCACGACAAAGAACACCTGAGAAACTACATGAATACCAAACCAGCACTATAAGCAATTCTAAACAAGATCCTAGAAAAAGACAATGAAGGCAGCAACACCATGAGGCCCAACAGAGCAAAGCAAATAGGCAAGGCAAGAAATTAAAAGGAGAAGATGAAAAAGTAAAAAGAGTCAACAAAAGGCCAATAACGTGTCAATAATAAGTCAGTACATATCAGTTATAACCAGCAAAGTCAATGGCCTCAACTCACCAATCAAGAGAAATAGACTGGCAAAATGGAATAAGAAGCAAAATCCAATAATATGTTGTATACTAGAAACACACCTAGTGCAAAAAGAAGCCCATAGACTGAAAGTGAAAAGATAGAAAACAATTCTCCATGTGACAGGAGCCCAGAAAAAAACAGGGGTAGCAATCTTATTTGCAGACAAAGTAAATTTCAAACCAAAACTGAATCTAGTATTATTGATGTAGGAAATAATGTTTTTTAAAGTTTGGTCTGCTAAATTCCATGGATTGGTATCTACTACAATGAAATTTCTGTAATTGTTCTAATCCATAGTTAATCAAATCCTTCCTGTTATTGAAAATGCATACAAAGTATGATCTATTCCCCGCTGATGTGAGGCATTGTCTTTATTGTATGCTAACTTTCCACGTGCAATTTGAATCGATTTCTCAGCGTTCCATGCTGTCCCGCTAGCCCGTCTCTTCCATGGCGACACCGAGCTGTCACTGCACAGAGCCTGTGGTGTGTCTCGGTGTTTGGTAACATCAGTCCCTTTCACTCTCTCGCTGACTCGGTCTCTTCTTCGGGACGTTTGACTATTCTTCCTTGTTTGTCATTTCGGGTAAATTTATATTTAGGTACCAATTTGCCCAGCTCTGGGGAGAAAATAAATTTGCTGATATTCTTATAGAGAACTTCATATTTAGAGAAAGTAATTTTTTATGATGTTGAGTTTTCCTATGCAAAAACAAAGCCCATTTTTCCATTTGT